CGCGGCCTACGTGCAACATAGATTCGTATCCATCTGCTGGCTGGGATCTCTGCCATCTCCATCCTTCTTCTGAGTTGTGCCAGTCTTTCCACCGTATGTGAAAGTCATTTATCTCTGCTACTTCGCCCCCTGCGAGCCACACCTTAGTGAATTTTGCCTTCATTCTTCTCTGTTGCTCTTCGTCATCTGGCATGGAGTGTCTCCTCTTGTGCCACTTACAAAGAATCTCTGCCTGGATCAAGGTCCTTGGCTCCGCCCATACCTTCTCCCTTGGAGTTGAGAGTCCCTCAATGGTTCTGCAGCACCTTTCCTTCCCAATGGACTGTGACGCCCAACCTCACGCCCAGCGCGACTTCCTGATCGGAGTGGGATGGGGGCCCGGAAGTGCGAAAAAGGGGTGTGCGAAGGATTTTTGGGGATTTGGGGTGGAGTCCCAGGTCGGAACGGGAAATCTCCTGTGGCAAGTCTCAGGGGTAGGAGTGCAAGTGTCTTCTGGCTCAGAGTCGGGGCGATGATCGATCGTGCTGCCTGAGCCGGGGTGGGGTGTTACGGGCGTCTCTGTGGGAGTCTTCGTACCGCTGCCGGCCGTCGCAAGTTTCGGGGTCCGACGAAGACGAGCTGGGTTCTCGTCTCTCGGTCCTGGGATGGGCTCATTGCACAACCCTCGCCTGTCGATGCTCGTCGGGCTGCCGACACTCCAAGCACGGCGGTCGGGGCCAGAACCGGGCTACGGAATCCCACGGGACCACGAGTAACCGGTGGTCAGGGAGGATGGTATAGTAGGGAGGGAAGTCAGTGGTGATGGCAACGAAGCCTGGGGTTAAAAGATATTGCTGGTTCCGGTTGTCAAGGTAATCGGGAATCCATGGGTCTCGGTTGATTGCCAGTTGGAAGTCGCCCCTGCACTGTCGCTCGTTTTCAGTCCGGCAGGGGTACTCAAGGTACCCAGGGTTCCGCAGGTGGCGATGTTGTCGGATCAACTGCCGGCGGATCTGATCTCTCTCCCAATACGCTCGGTATTCTGGGTCCCTCAGGCTTTCGCGATCCATGATCGAGAAAGGGGAATCGGTCGCCATGTCTCGTTCACACACATCTTCATACGGGGTGAGGTCGTAGCTGGCTTTGGCAGGCGCACGTATAGATGGCAAGTCCGCACACGGCTGTTGTCTTACACGCGCGTGCGCACCGGCGAGTTGGTAAGATCCTAAACCGCGCAAATAATCAAGGAACGATCCGTCCGCGTACCGGCTCAACCATGCAGCTAGTTCCCTCAGGCTATCAATCTTGTTCCGTTCTGGACAAT